ACCAATGCGGATGGGAAGGGAAGAGTATTCCCCAATTGCACAGGTGTTATTTGGGCCAGCAGTTCCAAATTCTTGCATGTATTTTAAGTCAGGCGCTAGCTTTATTTCCTTAATAAGCTTTGTGGAGATCACGTTAATGGGGGAGCCAGTGTCCAGGATGGCCAGTATTTGGACTTTTTGAATGACTACTTCAACCTTAGTAAGCGATCCTCCAAATTTAGGTGACAAAGTTAAGTCCTTCTTAAGCCAAAAGATGGAGGTTAGTCGTTTAGAAGTATCAGGGTATTTATCCAAGAGTGATTTCATGGGATGCACCCACTGAAGAGGTCGAATCAGGCCAGCTACAAATTGGTCACCATTGCTAGCATTATCAACAACCCTTGGACACCCTAGAATTTGGCTGAGGTACATTTTCTCAGGTATGGTAGACTCATCTACTCCTCCAGCGTTCAAATGATCAGGCACTTCTACTTTCAACGGGGCTCCTAATATGTAGTAACCAACGTCATCATAACCCTCACAAATTCCTCCCCAAGGGTATTTGCAACAACGGGCAAGGCTGTAATGGAGGTAGGGGGGATGGCCACAGATGATTGGATAGCCTTAGCGGCTGCATTATCCAGCTTGGTGGGAAGGGAAGGCACAGAGGCTTTGGTACACTTGCGCAAAATTAAGGTATTTGCTACCTTACAGGTCTCTGGTTCATAAGAAGGAGTGATGACTGTTTTAAGTTGTACAGGTTTCGCAGGGAGGTTAGGCGTAGTTGAGCTCACTCCCAATTGTTCAACAGGTGAATGCTCCTCAATGGTTAGAGCCAAAGTTTTCACCTCAGCTTCAGTTGTTGTGTCATATACATGAAATTTGGCCACATATAACAAAGCTTCCTTGATATCACAGATGTTTCTAAAGCAGCATTTTACTGAGATGATATGTCAAGATAAAGAGGACTGGTAGTTAACTCAGATGATAGGGCGGTAGCATCATCATAGGGTGAGCATGTTAGAGGTGGATAACCTTTGTGAAGAGAGGTAAAATTGTTCAGCTAAAGCAATGGGTGATTTACCTTCATACATGCTAAGGTGCATAAAGGCTTATTTTCCCTATGTAGACTATGCTTTGATCTGAATTCAGCCAAAAGAGCCTCTCTCACTTCTGACCAGGTGTACCCAGGGTTCAGGTTGGGTACTATCATCTCTTGTGCTAATCAACTTAAACCATGTAGGATGTGTCAAACTTTTTGTTTGTCTGTGGCACCATCCATAGCAGCTTCATAAACGTATAATTTATTGCGGGGAAGGCTGACCATGGGACGGACACTTCCGAATATGACTCAGACGAGACAAAACTTAGTACTAGGGGAGGCACCCCAGAGAAGCGATGCTATCTCTTGTTGCCAGCGGGAACGCCACTTATGGGAAGGGGGAGGGAACGTGTGTAGGGGACGTAGCCACTATTGAGCACGTGTGGAGGAAGGGGTCTGATTTGATGAACCAGACTGGGAACCAGGAAGAGACCAGCTGTTGGCGACGCGGTGGGAGATATCCAAACATCAACGCTTGAAAGTGATCCACCAAATGAGACCGGAATCTGTGGACAGCTTCAGGGAGGGTGGGGATGGATCCAGCGATGGCATCCAAGACAATCGTGTGGATAGTCCACATGGCGATTGCAACCACCAGAGCATGGAGGGAGGGTGGGAGGGGGGAGGCCATTGATGAAGCAAACATATCTCTCGACTTCATAAACGTATAAGAAGGTAGCAATGCTCCCTTCACCAGGGGTGAACTTGTCCTTAAGGGGGAGTTTGTGAGGACGCTGTTCAAGCTCCTCAAGGTGAGATAAAGCACTTGTAAGTTTCTTTTCAAGATCAAATAGGTTTGGTGTACAGGGAACCTCTGTAGTGAGCACCATTTTGTAGGAATCCAGCTATTTAGGTGCTTGCTGGTGCTAATGCCACTGGATCCCTATTGGAATTTCGTGAGAAATTACTATAAGCAGGCACGATGAAGGCTATGAAATTAGTAGTTCTGTGGCTCTATTGAAGATCAATATAATTGCAACAAAGTTATTAGTTCTGTCGCGATGGTTAATGCCAACTGAATATACAGAATCCTGTATGAAAATAAACTAAAATTAAACTACGTGAGATGAGAATTGAGGTACTTTATTAATTAAAAACAAGAGATAATTATAGGGAAAATTTAGTGGTTCTTCACAAGGATTTCCTTGTTTCACCTGAGGTAAGATCTTTCCTACCAGAGGACCAATATTGTTGATTATCATTATTATTATAATATTCATGATGATCATATCTAATAGAGCTCTAGTTAGATTCAATTGACCTTCTTAATAAGGCTTAGCCCCTTCAAAATGATTAGTCATTTTGAATTGCTTGGTCATCTTAGATTACTGAGTTTCTTTGGGTTGATTAGATTCACCCATCATAGGAGGTCAATAACTCTGAAGATTCTTTCTTTGGTCAAATTGAGAATTGGAATTATTCATTTTAGATTTCTCCATCTTATTAGACCAAGATATCAAATCTCGATCTAGAGTACTTTAGGTCATCTTAGTTTTATTTCCAACAATCCCACAAAGATTTTTAATAAAAATAAAAGTGAGCACTACTATAAAATTGGGATTTTATAATTTTATTAGGAGCGCGGGGGTAGATAAAAAAGTGATCCATCTCAATATTTGACTGAACAGCATTTAAACTGTTTTGTTGGTCAGGGGGTATTCAAGGATAGTTTTTTAATAGCTTAGAGGCTTCCAAATTAGGAAATATGGTAGGTGCACCTATCAGATCTTGTGAAAAACGATTTACTTTTTATGAAATCAATAGTTGGGGTTTTGGGGCAGCATGAACCCATGTGGTAAGGTCTTGATGAAATTCAACTAATCACCACTAGATAAAGTATTTTTACCTTGGGGGACATCCACCACATCTATAAAAGGGGGGTCCACATGTAGGTGCTTTGAGGGACTTGGTGATGGTGGGGGAGACCTTCCGCTGGTTGCCCCAGATTTTGTCATGTGGTTGGAGAAATCTGACCATTCTATTTTACATTTGGCATCTGTGCAGGTGTTGAAATGGTGTTACCCCAATTAGTGAAGTTCCACCAAGGATTAGCAAGGGTCTTTTGGCTGATATCCGCGAGATTTTTGTTATAATATTCATTAAAATCGCCTTTGGGTTGATTGGAAACTTGTAAATGGCTGAAATTTCCTCATTTCAGCTGAATTTTACCCAGGAAATTCTTCCTCTGCAGCTGAGAGGGCAAATGTCTGACACTTAGTAAAATATTCTGGTAGGGTAACTCTTTCACATCTTATTGTAATTGAAGGTCCATCTTATTTTTCCATTGGGATTTCTTGGGATTCTTTTTTTAGCACTAGGAAAGGATAGTGGGGGATTTTTCCTGGGGTTCTTTGTTTTTCAGAATTTCACCATTTAATAAATTAATACTCCTACTTTTCTTAGGGAACTCATTAATTGGTGTTTGATTTTTAGTTTCTTTAATATTTTCTTTTTGATGGCATATTCTTCTGATTAAAGGCTATCTGGTTGGTTTTTTGGAAGGTGATTTATCCATATACTAAATTTGGAACGCATGTTTACAAAATAACAAGTGTTTACAATCATAAGTCTTAGTATTATTTTGATTCCAGGTTAATTTAAAATAACCTGGGTGGGGGCAAGTTGCTAGGCTTAGGTAGGTTGTTCATGTCCAAGTTATGTTGACTTCACTGGTAGGGAACTGCGCATCCAGGTGAATGATCTAGAATTAAATGCAGGGTGCCCAGAACTGGTGGAATTGGTGCTTGAGCTTTTTACAGGTAAAATTTAAAAGGTTGTTGTGGGGCCTTTGACCCTGAACCAGCGTTGTCAGCTGCTGAACTTGTTCAAAGGTCAAGATTATTGATTCACCTCAGTTGTGGGTACATTATAGTATATTTTAGAGATTCCATGGTGTCAAAATTGTCTAAGTCAAAGGCAGTAGGTTCAATGATCATGATAACTCTGGAATCTTGGTGCCATCAATTGGAAAGTTGTATGTAGGTTTGGAAGATGGGTATGGCCTGATTGACATAAATAAGCTATGCTGTTAGTAATGCATTGAGGTAATAATTCTCTACAGCATCAAGGAACAAGTTTAGGAGTTGTTTGTCAACTTTGTTACAATGTTGTTAGGCTACCTAGATTTAGAGAACTATTGAATTTTCAAATTCATTAAAAAATCTGCTTATACTGCTAAAATCCTTCAAATGGAGTTAAGATTTCTTGCAAAGTTGAGTAAATGATTTATGTAATTTCTCCTATGTGTTGGATTGACAGTTTTAAAGATTCAAAAGGTAGGTTGGCACTGTGCCATTTAGATGCTTATCTGGTAAACAGGCTGGACACTTCCCATATTCATAGCTGGGAACTCCTACCATAGGCATTGCACCAAGCACATAGTTAGCCAACCACTTGTCAATAGGATCATGACTAGTCTCTCCAAGTTTTGCTTTACATATGTTCATATGAAAAAGGCAGTGGTCATTTGGTTCACAGTAAAGGTGCCCAGAGGTTTTGTGTATCATCACTGGCAGTATCACCACTTTATTATAAAGGTACTGGTGTCCCATTTCTACCATGAGTTGAGGTATCAATAGCACCTCAAATATTACAAATATCAGTTTTTGTAATGGTTAGCAGTCAGTGGGCTCAACTTAGAAATCGGTACGGATATTGTTAGCAGGGACAGATGGGATCAATTCAATAATGGAGATGTCAAAGATAAATATCAGCAACAATTAATTTTATCTAAAAATGAGCAGGGTTTATACATGATCATTTAGAAGAAGAAGTTAAAATAATAAATATTAGGGTACTAAAGGAATTCAGATAAAAGTGAATAATTATGGCTTAAGGGTAAAATAAAGGAGAGGCTATGCTTATAGTTCTAAAAAGATGTTATCAAATATCAATTAAAAAGCTCAGGCGTTAAAATTTAAGAATCAACACCTGAAGGATCTGAACCTGCGCGGGGAAACAATATGAGCTTTCTAGGCTCATGCCTTAACCGCTCGGCCAGTGTCTCGTTTTAATTAAATTTAATACTTATAATATTTTAACCTATTAGTAAGGTAACCAAGATCTTTGGCGGATGCGGGTGAATCTGAGATTTGCTCACTTGGTTTGAGTTTTAAGCTCTTTATCACAAGATATACCTAATTATATTCCTTTGCAAGCAAAAATAAAGTTTTAAGCTTTGGTAACCTTACCATGCTGATATTTTGTCAATTCAATTTGGCTATCCTTGACTGCATCTAACTCTGATAACTTTGATGGTTTTGAAGGGGATGAGTTTTATAGATAAAATAAATATATTACAGGTATGGTATTGTATTGTGCTGTATTAAAAGGATATTAATTATTGATATGGTTATAATAAGTTTATCAGAGAGAATAATCCATTATAACTTGTCAATTTAATGTTTTTTAGTTTTAGATTAGATTGTGGGAAGTGGGATCATTGAGAATAGTGTGGGTGGATGAAACTTCAAGTGAGTACGGGAGGGGTGGGTGGATGCCTCATAGGTTCAAGTTCGGATCTAAGGGCCAAGTCGATGGACACTAATGGGCTTGGGCCAGCCCAGTGGGTAGGGGTTATGGAACCCTTCTCATAAGTGGTGTGCTGGACTAGCATTTTACGTGAGTGGATAAATACGATGCAGATTATGAAGCTTGTAACTAGAAGTGTAACTACGACGGCAACCACGAACAGCGGAGGGTACGTACTCATACGTGGATGGTTGGTATGTGGAAGATCGGTACTTGGGTAGAATGAATTTATTGTATGCCATCGAAAGTTGTTAGGATCACCCATTATTATGACCTTGTTGACGAGAATTAGAGACCATCCTGAGTCATGGGTGAGACAACCTAAGGGGTAATCGAGGTGCTTTGGGGTAGGAATCCTCCCTCATCTTAAACTTGTCAAATCCAATGAGAATATATTTTTTGAGGTGGTAACTTAAAGTTTAGAATCCATGATGGTAGCGGATGGTCTTAAGTGGGGTGGCGGAATATCTCCCCACGTAAAAATACGCTCCATTACCAAATTGGAATATCCAGTACTATCATTGATGCTATGTTTGAGCTTAGCGTTGAGTTTGAGATTGGTCCTAATACAAGTACTGTACTATCATATTGGATCATTGTGCTCGCAAAAAGGTTCAAGTTTAAAGGTGACGGTGGCAGAGGGTGCAAGGTATACTTGCGAGTGCTGATGTCAAACCTAATCATACGGTGGGAGTTGGGTAGTAATCCTAGGATGGTGTTGGGTTTTGGTGAAGGCAACCACTGGATAGGTTCGGAAACCTTTAAGGAATAGAGATTGGAGCCAAGGACGTCGGTGCCAGGGCGATCCACCCCCAGCGAAGAAGGAGTGGTAATTCGATTCGACTGCAATACTCGGATGGGTCAATTCGATTCGATTGCAATACTCGGATGGTTGACTGCCTCAAGTTGATGCTTGGATCCTTGACTGAGTGATAAAACTGAAGCCTCGCATTATCAGAGTTGACTCCCTGCCACTTTGCGATTAAAGTGAATTTATGAAGGGAAAGATCCATACCTAGAAGACGAAACCCGGTGCCGCCCATGTTCATGTCCGCCACGTATAAGGTATCATCCATCCCCCTACACCCCAAGTTCAGTTCCATGGGTTCAGGATAGGATGCCCTAAGGTAGACTTTATGACTCCATCTAATCCCATACAACCATGTACCTCATGATTTTACTAGCTGAGTGATTTATTTTTATCCACATTAAATAGATAACCCCTCTTTACTTAGTCATTTGTTAACCATAGCTTGCCCCTAATTAGCTCAGTCGCTTTATGGGTCATCGCGCCAGAATGATCTGTATCGCAAAAAACATTTAGTCCTACCTTGGATCTCTTTCTTCCACTTTAGTCGCCCTTAAGCTAAGTTCAATCCCCAAACCTCTCAACTATCTGCCCCATCCCAAGACCAATTTTAATTCCCGCATCAATATAAACCTATTTTAAGGCGTTCTATCTAGATTCATGAGTTAATCCATTCCTTTTCCCCAATTCGGCACCTAGTGTAATTGGGTAGTTACTTTCGGCGAAATACTCAAAACCTAATAAAGGATTTAATTTAATAATATATATTAGATATTAAAATATCAAGTCTTTTTATGCTAATCCTCTGATAGGCCGAGGGATATTTATAGCAAATTATCAAAATATTTGTGAATTTCATGAATATGGTTTGATCATCGATCACATTCCTTCCAAGTAGAATACCCGATTCAACTATAAAGTTTTGGTGGATAGCGTTTCATTATCACATTTCTCCCTAAAAGGCTCATACAAACTTTTTCAACTGTTTACCATTTACAGGTCCTGGTTCTAGGTTCCCGTCAAAGCCAACTAAAATATATTATGGTTATATAATACCTCAGCTACCACAAATAACCCATCACAATTTGGCAAATTTTGACATGATATACGTCTTATGGCTGGATATCAATTGAAAAAAATCTGACGCTTTTGTATCATGGTATGACATCATTGCATTTTATATTTATAATTTGAACTATAAAATAAAGCTAACGCTTCATTTAACGTTACACTGTGACATCACTGCAAATTGTTTTTACGACTAGCAGATTTGCTCAAAGTTGTCATGTTTATAATTTACCAGATGATAACAATCGATTATTTATATTTTAGATTATAGATGACCATCAGTAAGTTTATAACGTATTTGAACCCATCAAATCAATTGAATAACTACCAAACCACTTGGCAAACCATTAACCCTTTGCACTCCGAACCATTCTGGACGTTAGCTACTAGCTACTCAGCGCCGCTTTGTGGCAGAAACGTGCATTTACGAACCCTCATATTATTTAGTATAGTTTTGGAACCAAGTAACGTATTATAATGATATTGGACTTATATGAATTGGTTAACATCGAGAAATGTATATTTGTAAAAGAAATCAATATTTTATTTTTTATAATTTTGTAAAGTATGATAACGTTTGAAACACTCCCCAATATGCACTGCAGGCTGATTTGCGCATGTTTGACAATAGTAAGTTGTTTGACGTCTTCCACCAGATGTTTCTGTCAGAACAAACAATACAATCCCGTTTTCTTTCTCCCACACCGGGAACATGCAGTTGATTATTCAGTCTAATGTCCGCCGAAGATGTGATGGACGTGTTCTCGGTTCCCGAAAATCACCTCTTAGAACAGTCACTTTTTCTCACTTGTTAGATCTATCTATACCGCTCGGCGTTTCAAATCAGACTGAGTTCGGCTTTGAAAATCTTTTCCTCCAGTTTTAGATTTGTTTATTTACATTTATAAATCTCCTCTGCCTCACACTGTATGGTGCGAGGCATGCTCGTATAGCAACCTTTCTTCTACAGACTCTCCTTATCGCTCCTTTCAAGTGGCGCAGTCAAGTACTCGGACCGTAGTGAGCACACTTCTCATGCTCTCTTCTGACACAATCCGCTGACATTTTTTTATATATATTAGTAATTTTACCATATTTTGATTTGATTTCTTCTGCCATTTCAAGAGAAAATTTCAGAAAAACATGCATTTTTCAAAAAGTTGTGCCGGAATAAGTTAATTCCCTGTAATCACTAATAAACTTTAATGTTCCCTGAGAGGGGACATCCGAGTGATATGCTAGAATTACGATGTCCCCTGAGAGGAGACAGCGGAGTGCAAAGGGTTAATCTTGGTTAATGAACTTAAATGGGCCAAACCGCTCAGCCAAAACAATATACCAATACCTACTACAGTTATATAAGTTTTCAATCATATAGTTTTTTCTACTATTATTTTAAAAACTTGAATAAATTAATTTTTATTTACATTCAATATCTGTGCCAAGTTTGATCAAAATTTATTTAGTAGTTTAGGAGGAGATATAAGACAAATATACTTACAAGTATACAATTATTTTATAAAGTTTAGGATTATTTCTTACCCAATTACCTTTACTAATGCTACTAAAATTTAACTTAAATCTAAATATATTCTAAACCCATCTGAGTTCAGCCATCAGCTATCATAAAATTATCCAATTATAAGAAGACTGGGATTACAGTTTGGGTACATCAGAACCTATTGGAAGGCCCAAAATCCCAGAGGCACAGTGCTTAACAAATTGTAAAAGGGACGTTCTAGGGTTTTTGTAAAAGAAATATTGTTCAAAAATGAAGTTAAGATTTTTGCCCATATTCCCATATGACTAGATTACCAGGGATTGCTAGGAGATAATTCCCTACTGCAAAGTGAATTGGATATTGATTGTTCCTGAATTCAGGGTTACTAGGTTTGGAATTTTAGGTTATTTGCCTGAGTCAGATCTGTTGAGGATCAATCCAGATGAATGCTTAAGATCTTGTCAGGCAGAGTTGCCAATGAATAGGGGCATCTGTTAGTTGATTGACTATCAGGTGTACCAATTGGGACTGGTCAGGTTTCATCACCAACTGATTTAGAATTTAAAGGATTAAGTTGCAAGGTGAGTGATGCCACATGCAAATAGCAAATCAATCAGTTGGTTTGCAACCTGCCTTATTAGTAACAAGTCAAATTACCTAAGCAGGTCACTTGCCAAATATGGTTGGTTTGCTTGGATCAAGAGAAAAATGTTAGGGAAACATTTTTCAAATCTTTCCATTTTAAGTCTCAAGGATGTTCAATGAGGGAATCCTGGCCAGGATGGGGAAGACCATCACTGCTGAGATGAAAATGGTTAATTCAATGGAAACAGCTGCTGTTTCATTGAGAAGGTTCCAAATGAGGGTTGGGCATCGAATTCCCCACTTAATTTCTCTAAAGAATTCACTAATAAAAGATCATCATCATCATAAATTATCAGATTAAATTTAGGGAGAGATAAATCAGCTTAACTCTCCAATTGGTGTTACCCATCCTGGGGTTGATACAGGTGATAAGGAATTAATCAGCCAGGTGGACTGAGATCCTTGTATGGCAGGAATCCAGAAGACCACTTTATCAAAATCCACTTTGAGTTCT